ATGAATTTGTGGACTGTTTGACATTCATTGAAATTTAAGTACTGAATTGAACTAAACTATTTGATAAATATACAGGGCTGACGTTTGAAAATAAATTAATTTTTAGTTTTACCCTTCCACTCTTTAATTTAAAAATATTTATAAAATATGTCATAATATAAATCATAATCACTATTATTATATTGTAATCTACATTTAACAAATATTTGATTAAAATAAATAAATAAATAACATTTGAATAACACAATAATTGAACAATAACAAATTAAATAACATAATAAGTGAACAATAACATCCAATAAAAAAATAGCAATAACTAATAAATAATCAAATAATATTAAAAAATATAATAAATTAGATTTCATTAACAATATGCGTGTGTTTGTGTATGCAGTCCATGTGTGTAAGTATGTGTGTGTGCAATGCTTGTTTTTGTGTGTGTAATTATAATTATGCATGTATATTTTTGTTATAGAAGACAAGAAAAGAAAAAAAAAAAGAGATTGACAAAGAGAATATATAGGTTTGGAGTTTTGGAGAGAAGACTAATTAAGGTTTTAATAGGATTGTAAAATATTTCATGGTATAAGTATCAAATTGTAAATATTATTAAAGATAATTTTGCTGAGTTCTTTTAGCTTTTAAAATTAAGTAAGGAATCTCGTAGTTAATATTGTAACCTATTTTTAAAGAGCACTTAACATATTAAGATAGTTTAAATTTTAATTATCAAACGAACTTAATTAATAAGTGTTAAATACATTCATTTTAAGTATAAAATTTGGGTTAACAAACACACCCTTTATTGAGTAATTAATGTAAGTATCCTATATAAAATAAAAAAAATATTGGACGAGTTCTAATATATTTTGAGTAGGTTTATTACTTACCAAATAAATTAAAATAATCCTAATATATAGTAAATAGGTATATTAGAGATAGAGTAAATATTGAGATCAAATTGTATCTTGATATATTTGAATTACAGTATTTTACTCTTATAAATAGGGATATAGGTGAATATGATGTAATTAATTATATGACCAATTTTTGAGTGAATAATACATCAATGTAGATTTTTGATCCATAAATATAAGTACAATGTACCAAGGTAGATACGTTGTATCAAAACATACTATATCTTTATGTTTTAATTGTTTTTCCTATGTTAAATTCTTATCCTCTGACTTATGGTATCATATCCGTCGTGCAAAACCAACAAACACATCTGTGTCACTTGGATCGAAACTAAGTGGTTAAATTCTGGTTATAATCAAGCACATGAACAAGAAATTGTTTGAGGAAATCCAGTCTCTTTGTAATTAGTTCTTATAATTAGCTAGCTTTCCTTCAGTGGGTGTCTTCAAACCCTTTTTCCATGGGAAGAATGGATCAGCCTTTTTTTTATTTAATTTTTGGTTATCTACCGTTAATTCAATTTAAACGTATTCCTAATTTCGAAACTTGACAATCACTTGGGATAGTCAAGAGCAATTTATTCCTCATGAACATCATAATCTCGCGTGCATGACCTGCCTTTGACTGAATTGAAGAGGGAATTAGTCTAATTTGACCCAGATACCCTTACCATTGAATAAAAAAAAAAATGAACAGAGATATCCATTGAACCATCATTAATTTACCAAATATATTTTCAGTTCCTATTACTTCGCTTCCATATATAGATAATCCTATTCATAATACATAATATGCTCGTTTGGTAAACGTATTATGATGGGATTAAATATTTGATTGTATTATTTTTTATTTAATAGGGTCTAATACTTTGTTTGGTAAATAAATTTGATACCGTATTAATTTCAAAAATGTATACTAATCGTATAATTTTTATACGATAAATCTGTATTATTAGAGGTATTTTAATACTACTAAAAGATGTGATATTATAATCCAACTCAAACGTATTATTATACACATTTACTATTATAACCCTCTAACTGATAAAATCTAATTGTCATCAATGTAACAAACACTGATTGAAGATATTTTTGTTAATTTAATATTAATGCCATGAAATAAAGTCCTAATCAAATAACGGATTGAATTAAATAATTACTATTCAACGCTTATATTGTGTATTAACAAACACTAGATAAAATTATGTATTATTCTAACACTCTATTTAATCTTGTCTTTTATCTATATGTATTGTATTAGACTGTATTACTTTATCCAATTCATTCACTTATAATACGGCAATCAAACGAGTCCAATATTGTCAGAGATTAGTTATGGTAACCTAATCTCTTTCTCATCTCTTAACACGTTCTGTAACGCCTCAAAAACCCCCGTGGGTGACATTACATTCTAAAAATCATTTACCGTATGAGAGCATTAAGTAAAATTCATCACGACGAAAGTTTCATTCATCAACCATTCATATTTTAACAAAATTTGGGCAGAGTCTCCTTTGTACGAGGAGCTCTACCCAAAACACAACCTGTACAATTATATTACAATTGACCACACCGGGTCCACATATGCATAACTATTGACCACACTGGGTCCATTTTTCCATCATAAAATAAACTTGCATTCATCATATGTCATATCCACACTATCATCCCAAATTAATAGGTCTAATCTTGGCCTTTACATCTCCAAAATGTAATAATATAACGCAGCGGAAATAACAGAAATGAACTAGAGTTCAAAATGATATTCTAAGCATAATCTAGTCTAGAACAAAATAAAAGTGTCGCTCTAAGCGTCCACCTCGGGATCCACATCCCCCGTCAAGCGGAGTCTTCCAATGGGTGGGCTCCTCGGCTCCTAACTCCTCCTCAAGTGTGAAATCTGAAAAAAATTTATTTGTAGGGGGTGAGCACGAAGTTCTGTAGCAAAATCCTATCAACTCAAACAAGGTTTGAAAAACATAGCAAACTGGCGGTCTCATTTCACAACTAACATATATATAGGTTTGGAATGAAAACAGTGACATTTTAAAAGAGATCTCAAGTTTAAACAATATCAATAATCAGTTAAAAGAATAAAGTGAGTTTAACATCGATAAACAAAATTCTAATTTAAGCTATTTAAGAAGGGCTTCTCCCTAAGCATTGTCCCATACCAATGCATCGGCAAGAACGACCCAACTCCCGATTCCATGTATTTTTGGTTCATCCCCGTACCATGTATGTTGATTGCTTTTCGTGAATCTACCTAACGATCATGCCTAGTCCACCAATTCCAACCAACAATCACAAATCTCTTTAGGAAGGGCGTGTACCGTCTCTTACGGCATTGACGAAATCCTCCCAAGGTGTCTAGTATACTAACCCTTTTCCTCGGTGTATATGTGAACAATAGTGATCGCGAGCACAACAACGATCCACTACGAGCATTAGGCAACCATCTCACCCCCTATTGGGATAGACTAACCTCTAACGCTCTACGACATCTCTCGAAAGTAATCCAAGTCCATCACAACAACCATACAATGAGGAAATCAAGAATATTCACAATTCACAATAATTTCCCAAATATAGTAAAATCCCCAATTTTGTTTTCACATTTGTCATATAATCGAATAATCTAAGAAAATATGCAAGAGATCGTAATCTATATCATTTTGTTATACAATATTCAACACTAAAGTTTTAAAATCAAAGACAAAGAAGAAATTAGGAGAAAATCCCCTTTTCTTGAAAAGTAGGGCTTTGAAGATAAAAAAAAAAAATTAATAGAGCTTTGGTGGTTACCCACCCTTCATATTGTTCAAAACATGACATTTATTACAAATAGAACAAGAATCATGTATTTCATATTATATATATGAGAAGGAGAGTGAAGAAAACATATATCTATATACATATATATATCTATATATATATATCTAGCCTCAATGTGAGAGATTGAGAGAAAATCCCCTACCTTAAATCAAGATTCCAAGCTAAGACCCAAGCTTCAAGACCTTCTTGCTCTCCTTTCTTTTCCTCTTAATCTTCTCCTCCTAGGGTTTCAAAAGATTTGGGTGAGAAGGTAGCAAGAATGGAAGAAAATGGGAGGAGAATGTATTCTTGAAGAATTTGAAGTTTTGATTTCTACAAGGTATAAATCCCTCTTGATTGGTATTTCTATCTTCCTCTCTTCCTCTAAAATGGTTCCTAGGGTTTGGAGGGGTGAAATGAATGCTAAAGGGACGACATTAGGTTTTTATAGGGCAAGAAAATCGAGCATAACCCGATATTTTCTGTTCAGAAAAATCGGGTTTCCTTCGTACTGTTCACAGATTTTTGGTGCGACTTCCAGGTCAGTTTTGACTCATTTAGAGGTCGAATTGGAAATTTTTCATTAAATACACTTTTGTAGCCCTAGATGTCTACTATTTTCTGTCAAAATTTCAGATCAATTGGACATCAAAATATAAAGTTATGATCAAAATACTAAGCAGTGTCCATCACCCCTTTTTACCCAATTTCACTCCAATTTGGTTTTACTTCTAAAATACTTCCTAACTTCTAATACATCCCATGTTACCTCTCCCAATGTTTTCCGATCTCCCGAATTCAATGGTAATGTTATTTTGATAAAAAAATTAATATATTTATTTAGTTACCCTTATCAATCTTAAACACATCAAAAAAAAAAAAAATTAAGTTTGACCCAAAAGTTAATCCGTTCGAAACTCAAACTTCATGATTAATATTTCAACAATGATTCTAAGTTTTTATCCTCATTTTATTCATATTTGAAAAATTCTTAAGATATTAGTATTCTTATTTAATTTTTAGTACAAGGTCTTACACGTTCACTGCAATTAAATGATATAAAAATATAAATCCAGAACAATATAACAAAATTTAATTATAAGTACACAGGTTTCAAGTTCACAGCTTCGTAATTCCAACAAAACAACCAACCCTTATCAAAATGGCTACCAAGAACATCTCTCCCCTTACTGCAAGTTTGTTCATTGGGTTTCTCTGCGTAGCTCTACTCTTGAGTTCAGGTAAAAAGCCCATTCTACCATCTGTTATATGCATGTCTATGGCTCTCTGTAGTTATCTTCGAGTCAACCACTAGTCGAGTGAGATTCGTTGTTTACGTATAAAGTATATTAATTTTTTATTTTTTTTCTCTCACAGGTCAAGCAGAGGAAAGAATCTGGTTCGTCTGTCAGGGGCCATGCTCAAAATTTCAGGACTGCAATCAAGCTTGCAAGGCCAAAGGATATCCTGATGGTGGCAAATGAATGCCCCCTGGCAAGGGATCACCTCTTGCTTGCTGCTGCACAATTACCTAATTTATGCTTACTTTTCAACATGGGTTTCATGGCTTTCAGCGCTCATTTGTGATCTTCCATAAATAAAGTAAAAATATCCCAAAAATTATTTGGTATTGAAGTAACTTTGCTTCTCTCGAGTTTTTTACAATGTTAAAATTTGTGATCCGATTGAATCCAATTGATCACAAAAGTTTGATGTTATTGGGCCATGATATGCATACTCATAATCATTGAACTCAGGATGTTATTGGTTCGTAAGATTATATATTATTTTTATAAAGAGTAACTTAAGTGGTAATAGGGATGAACTGTAAATCTAAACGTTCTGAATTTATATTTTGACAACCTTTTGGAGGCAGATCATGAAGAATTTATCTCTCATGAATACTCTAGTTTCGATATAAATAACTTGTTTTTTACCGAATTGAAGGAAAAATTAATTGAAACGCGTATAAATTGACTCAAATAACTAATCGTTAAACTGAAAAAAAAAAGAAAAAGAGAAGGGACAGATCCTCATCTTCATGCACCGAAGCTTGAGAAGAAAGTAATATAGGAAAGAAATTGATAGCTATGTCATTATAAATTGTAATGGACTAATGTGATACATGGGATTTATATACCCATTTCATCCAACAACAACCCCCCTCCCCAAACAAAAAACAACAACAACAAAAAAAATTCTTAGTTTCTCTAGTAGTGTTAGAGAAAGAATATGAGAGAAAGATGAGAAGGAAAAAAAGAATAGGAGGGTTGAGTGAGAAGTTGGAGAGAGAGAGAGAGAGAGAGAGAGACATGAGAGATAATGGAGGCCATTATATTGGCAATGTGGGGGAGTGAGAGAAGGGTTATGTGAACATTAGCGACAACTTGTGTGATAGATTGAATTTAGATCCTCACCTTATCCTACGATTTCTAATCAATTTGAGTCTCAACCTTTTTAATTCGTTTAATAGTATTCGAGAAAATAGAGAATATAAAGATGAGTAGTTAACAAAAAAAGTAAGAACATGAATTAGGAGTGAGAGATTGTGGAGTTATTAAATGGAAGAAAGTTTAATAAAGAATCAAGCATAGGAGAATTAAAGTTTGTATAGTTTGTTAGGGCATGTCTAGTGATATTACACTTGGTATATTATTATCAAAATTTTATCTAAATAGCAAAATTCTATTACCCGCTATTCATCAATTTAAATTTTGACACATTTCATCATTCAATCGTATCGTCCAAGTATAAGAAAAATTCAGCTTTTAAGAACGGGCCTGTCCATAAAGCTTTGTCAGAAAGCCCAAGTAATTGACATCAATAAATGGGAAAATGTAATCATGGGGGGCAATAAATGCAAAATTTTAACGCAAATAGAAATAGCTCAAGTCCAAAATTTGTTCATTCCATCACCAAAGCCTTGACAGAATGAACATCACTCTCATTGCTACGTGCTTTATCATATGCCGCCCAACACTATGAAAAAAATACATGGGTTTTAAGCCCTAAATTTTAAGTATATTATTAGCTTACAAAAAAATTTAAATTCATTGAATTTTAAGTCTTATAAAAAGGTCCCAAAAAAATTAAATTTAATTAAAATTTTTATTGCAATAATTTAGGCATATAATTCAATCCATCATATTAAAAATTTAGAAATTAAAAAAATAAAAAATATTAAAAAGTCAACTCATATTTACTCTCTCTCTCTGTGGTAAAAAAAAATTAAAAAATTAAAATTAAACACTCTCTTTCCTTTATGTGGTGAAAAACAAAAATAAAAATTGAAATCTCTTTCTCAATAATATTAACACATATTTCTTTTGTCTCCCTCTCACATAAAAAAAGTAAAAATAAATTATTTTTTTAAAAAATTAATACTAAAATTAAAAAAACCTCCATTTAATATTTTTGCTTTAAGTCTTAAATTGTCTTGAGCCGCCGTGGCCTAACTTTGCTCTCTAGTCCAGGGAAAAAGTTCATCCTCGATAACCCTATATACATATCTATTGTGATTTAAGTATGATAATATCAATATAATTCACCTAAGTTATATGATAGCTTTTATTTCGAGTCCATAAACCCAAGAGTTTCACTCTGCTCGTGATTGACTCATACTGTCGTACATGTCTCTAATGCTTTATTTGGTAGAAAGGATAAAAAAGTAGGAAAGATGGAAAGTAAGAAGTGTAAATTTTCTATCATTCAAGAAATGAAAGTAAGAATGATACACTTTTCTTCTTTTGTATCTGGTTGGATGGATGAAAAATAAAAATGACTAATTTTTTTTTTGTGCTGGCTAAGATCAGGGGTGAAAATCGAGTCGTGTCGTATCAGATTCGTGTTGAGTCATTACCGATTTGTGTCGAACATTAATCATACCTAGCTCAATTCATTTAACTAATTATGTTGTATCGAGTTGCGAGTTGACTTGTTTATTTTGAGTTTATTTGATTGAACTGAATATGAGTCTTTTATATTTCTTATTCGCATGTCAGGTCATTTTCAAGTTCGTGTCGAGTTATAATCAAGTTCGTGTTATAAAATTCGTGTTGAGTTCGAGCCATATTATCGTATTGAGTCAAAAATTTTCATCCCTAATTAAGATGAAAAACATATTTTTTTTAATTTAAAATTTTTATTTTAAAATTTTTTTAATATATATACATACAAATTTTATCATTTTATTTTTATATGAAATTAATGTATACATAATATATGCATATATTAAAAGATATATAGACAAATAAGATACATCTCAACACAAATAATTAACTTTTCATCCACTTTCTTTCCGATTTTGGAAAGTTGGAAGGAAAATTAATTTATTCACTTTTGCATCTTCATATTTTTCTTCCTTACCAAACATGATATTTTATTTATCTTTTAACTTTTCATCATTCCAACTTTTCATCCTTCCATTTTTTCATCATACCAAACAGAGAATAATACATTCCCGCAAACCATTTTATTTATGAACCATAATTAATACTGTATTAATTTACCAAATACTCCCCCGTTCTTATGTATTTTTCGTTTAAAGTTTTTACACAGAAATTAAGGAAATTATTAAATATCTGTAATATGAGTAAAAAATAATTACACAAGACTAAAATACCCTTATTCAATACGTATTAGAAAGGAAAAGAAAATATGAAAGACACTTAGCCTCTACCTAATTTAATGCATTAAAAAGTTAAGGATAATTTTGAAAGAAAAAATATTAATCTGTGTAAAACGACAGATATTTAAGAACGGAAGGAATATTTTTTTAATTCCCATTATTTCGCTTCCATATATATAGATATAATCCCATCCATAATAAATAATATTCTGTAAGAGATTAGTTTTGGTAACCTAACACCTCTCTCATCTCTTAACACGTTCACTGCAATTAAATGATATAAAAATATAAATCCAGAACAATAATGCAAAATTTAATTATAAATACACAGGTTTCTAGTTCACAGCATAGTAATTCCAACAAAACAACCAAGCCTTATCAAAATGGCCACCAAGAACATCTCTCCCATTACTGCAAGCTTGTTCATTGTATGTCTCTGCGCAGCTCTGCTCTCGAGTTCAGGTAAAAAGTCTATTCTACAACATTTTATATACATGTCTAATGTGTTTCTCTAATTATCTTCGAGTCAACCACTTCTTCTTTCCCGCCCCCCCCCCCTCTCTTCATCAAGTTCAACTATGATAATAAAAACTTGAATATAAAAATCTAATTAATATTTTTGTATTTTAAAAATTAAAAAATAAATTTATTATTAAATATTAAAATTTTTTCATTTATTGTTTATGTTTTAAACCTTAAAATGTCTGGGGCGGTCCTTGGGTTCAATTTTTCAAGCTATGTAAATAACTTTAGATGTAATTACAGGACAAGCAACTCCAGAAGAGGGCCGAGAGAATTAAAGAGCCTATCTGCAGAGGGACCTGTTCAGCATACAAAGAGTGCAACCAAGCTTGTATTGCTAGGGGGTATCATGGAGGTGCCTGTTTGGGATTTCGGGGGACTCCTTTTTCTTGCTGCTGTTTTACAAATCGATTGAGCATGCCTTAAGAAAACAACTCTGGCCTTTCCTTTTTAACTTCTGAACTTTGTCATGTGCCGTGAGTTAATGTAAGAACATCAAAATGTTCAGGAACTAAGTGTTGCTGCTGGTTTTTTCAGATTAGTTGTTGTGCCCTGCGTGAATCATCCCTTGAACGATGCAAATATATATTTAATACAAGGATAATATCACGTCACCATTAACATTTGGTATCACAATTCAATAGTAAAACACCACTTAAGCATGATACATCTCCTATATCTATACCCAACATAAATTTTTTTTGATAAAAGTGTATCAAACGTAATCCAATAACGTGTAGATATAAGATATGCATAAGTGATCTTCGGTTATTATTCGCAATACTACTTGCCAATAATAATGTAATATTTACACGTTAGTGTGTGATTGACAAATTCTAGTGTGGTGTGTGAGTAATGCTATAATTTGATGTCCATATGGACCAACCCAATTGCAATAATTTTTTTTTTGTTCAACGGTCAAGTGTGTGCAGACTAATTTACGTATATCTCGACTAATCTTTTTTTCGGTTCGGTTAAAAGTAGATCACCAAATACGGGACTAGAGTATTCATGAAAAATATCTCATGGTCTGATCCTAAAGAATTGTTAAAATTCAAAATCAGGATGTCTAGATTTATAGCTTAGCCTTGTTACAACTTGAACTATTCCTTAAAATTCACACTGCAATAATTGTAAAGGACGTGTCTTTATCACCTTGCTTAAGTTATTATAATCTCATCATTATGACAATATTAGTCAGCCAACTATATGGAGGTCCCCATAACTTCACTTCCATGTATAGGAATATAGACCATATTGTTAGCAAATATTAAGTCTATAAATTGTTAGAGATGAGTTTTAACGTCAATACAAAAGGATCGTAATTAAAATGATATAAAATACATAGACATGGTTCAAGCCCCAAGTCTGGTAATTCCATACCTAAGCTTTGACAGACAGAATTGCTATCAGAAACAATGGTTTTGGGGGTTTCTAT